AATTTTTTTAATCAATCATATTCTATTTGTTCTCAAACTCTGTGTTTAAATGGCAGATAAATCTTAAAAGCTACTTGAGAAAACGGCCCTAATAGTGCCTAAAAATTGGTTGCTAGAGAAATATCACACTCACCGATCTGCAAAGAAGCCACCCACTGGTATACCGACAAATTGTCCAATATTATTTACCGTACCAACCATTGTCAACATCCATATATCTGAGCAGAATATGGAGAACTAAAGAAGTAAAATTGAGATGATAAAAATAAAAAAAAAAAATTAAAAGGGAAATCAATAGCCTTACCTCATTGGATATTGTATACTCTTCATCACGGAATTTAAAATCATTTCCACATTTCTCAGTAACATTTTGGCTAAAGTTTGCAGGTGTGCAAAATTCACTCGACGGATCGGCATCAGCATTGTTGGTAGCAACAAAGCGAGCGCACTGTTCATAGCTGGATCCCTTCATGGGTATGGTATAATTGAGCCACGGCTCATTGTAAGCNTGATAATTATTATGACAAGACTTTTATAATATAAGTCTCAAAATAAAAGTATTTGAAGATTTAAAAATATTTATCTCGCTGATAATTATTATGAAAAGATTTCTATTATATAAGTCTTAAAATAATAGTTATCGATGACTTAAAAAAAATTTTCTCACACATAATTATTATCACAGGACTTTTATAATTCTTACGAAAATCTTGATGACTTTTTTTAAAACTCCACCATGAAATAATTATTATTCTGGGTCTCTGATTTATTACAAATATGTTCTCTAAAAATTTTATGGTCACCCACCTGTGCACCACCGTACTCGCAGTAAACACATAAGAAATGGAAAAGAACGCATTGAAGATCATAGGTATGCACAACAGCACATAGTTGAAGAGTTGAAAGCGCCCGAATTGTCCGATACGCACAAGGATGCCATCGAGCGTGCAATCATCCTCCACCTTCTTATTGTTAGCCTCCACCTGTTCGCCACCACTCGCTGTTGGCAGTGTGTGGTTCGTTATTTCAGCTGTCATTATTGTATATTTGT